CATCACGGACCTCGCGATCCCGAACAAGCACATCTTTCAACTTTTCAAGATCGCTAAAGTCTGCAACGCTCTCTGCAGTCATCAACTTATCCCCTCGGCGAATGAGAGTACCGGCCCCGGAATCTGTGAACAGCTCCTTCTGCAAGTCAGCAGGATGTATGATGGCGACACTAGACGAACGCGGAAGATTTTCTAGAAGTTCCTTAATCTCGCGTATCTTTAATCGGGTTCCAAACTTGCACCAGGGCTGTGACATGATGTGATCGTATTCCTCATCGAGATTAATGGCAGAGATCTTCTGCACGTTACCATCAAACAACCCACCCTTCTCGCTAAGATAGACAACCTTTAGCGGCTCGAGTTCGCGAGCTAGCTCTCCCGCTGCGACATCGGCGTTGACATTCAGCACCTGACCCTCCCTCGTCTCCGCCATGGAAGTAAGGATAGGTAGATAGCCGTTCTCTATGGCAGTTTGAATAGGCTCCTTGTTAACTTCGGTGATTTTCCCAACGAACTTCCATTTATCCTTGTTGAGATAATCAGCGGTGAAGACGCTCGAAGTGATAGGTCGAGCGCGGACGCCCATCTCTTCTAGACGCTGAACGAGCTTCAGGTTTTCCGCTAGGAAAAGCCGCCTCGCAATTCCTAAAGTCTTGCCGTCGGTAATACGAATTCCCTCCTCGAACTGGGGTTCGACGCCGGCATCCTCGAGGAGCTTGTTGAGCTGCGGGCCAGCACCATGGACGATAATAGGGAAAAGTCCAACATGGTATAAGAAGGCCAGCGACGAACAGAGTTCATCCAGATAATCGGTCAAGATAGCACCTCCGACCTTGATCACAGCGAATTGCTGAGAGGAGACGGAGGAGAAATGGGAAAGGTATTGCTTGACCTCTCGCTTAGATCCGACGTTGTTGAGCACCTGTATAACGGCGGCGCGCGTAGTCGAGTCGTTCGATCGGGCAGAAGAGTAAGCAGCTTGTGATGTTCGCAGGGAGAGGCTTGTGGCGACTGCAGGAGTCAGACGAGTGGCTCGGGGAGAGACACGACGAGAGCCAGCCCTCACGGCTGCTCGCAATGCGCGTACCGACAGCATTGTCAAGAGTCGAAAAGTGAACGACTAAGTCCTTAAGTCCAATTGACACTTCCACGGCCTATACAGCCGTGGTATCGCGACGGGGATCAAGCTGTCGGCGACGAAGCTTTGAATAAATAAAACAAAAACTTCGAAGGGAGAGGAACTAAATTAAACGACGAAATGAGTCAGTTTATATTCAGAAGACCAAAGACCATAGGATGAACACAACGCTGGAGACGAATACAGGGTGCAATAGGCGAGCCAATTGAACTACTGAAGTTTAACTACTTGAATTGACTAACCTAGAAGAAAATTAAAAAGTTGTTATGTGTAAGATTCTCAAGTTCACATTGTTAGAATACTATGAGGAGGGGCAGATAAAGTGGCCGTGATACTGTTGATCCTTGGAGAACTTTGTACCGTGACCAAGGAAAAAAAAAAAAAATCTTGGACTTCTTAGGACGCCGAAAACCGCAGCCACGCTGCCATGGCCAATTGAAACTTGGAGAAGCACTAAAAGCAACCCTTGCTAGTAGGTACACTAACCCCACATAGGTACCTTAGGTATTAATATTCGATTAGAAGAGTCCAAGTAGGTTAGGTACTTACGTATTTAGAGGTAGTTGCCGTTTGCGGTGCAACATGCAAGAAATAGTATCCAACTACAACTTCAAAAGTTCTTACTATGCTGCTATGTAAGTGGGTGTCTGTATGTTTCTACACCTATGTATCAAATTCAAATAGTAGCATCCTCTTTTAGCTAGACCCTATGATCGTCGCATCAACACACCATCACCACCCCCTGGTCGCATTTTCTCAGGCCTCCAAGCTTTGAGCTGCAGCAGATCCAAGAGCTTCACTACCGTACCTTACACAGCCAAGCATGACGAACATCCAATTAAGTAAAATATTTCCTATCATAAAACATAGAGTAACCTCGACAAGTCAGTCCCTTAATCTGCATGGCCGCTTGACCTTCGAGATAACCACCCGTGGCCGAGATGCCGGGTAAGCCAGGAAGCTCGATCCACGTAATATGGGGATCGGTGCATTATCCAAAAAGCACTCAGCTAGATGATTTTCCCCAGTCTAGTAACCCGGTGACACATACGCACACACCTCATGCTCATGCTCATCGCGGTCGAGGCTGTGTGCTGTAGCTATTAGACCGTCTAACGTGCTCGAAACATCGATTTGGAGTCTACGCAAAAATCCCGCCGCTTTCATACAAGTCGTACTGGCGCTTAAGACGGCATACCTATATTGTATTATATTCACCTACCGGCTTTAAACGAGAGGCAGTGCTCATGCAGTCGGATTAGTCTCCCCGGCGTAACGCATGCCGAAGGGGCACCTCTGTACTACTTGATGCTGAATGTTAGGGAAGATTGAGTCCCGGCTACTATGATATACAGTCAAACATTCTAGCGACGTACTGGCGTCAAGTTTCCGTCTCCAACATTCTCCAAAAGCTGCATTGTCGGGAATTTGGCTATTACCGTGTGCAGCCGGAGCCAGGTTCAAATTTCACTGATCATAGGACCTCATGTTGCGTTGCTATTCCAAGGGGCCTCAATCTAACTACATCCTTTCATCCTCTAGCTATACGTCGAGACACGTCTGTTTATTTGCCGATGCCATCGAGTATCAGGTATGTTTAGGACAGGCCACTTTCGGCTGCCGAACTTAGAAAGGAGGCTTTGTAGCAGTCAGCCGGAGCTATTACCCCTGATCCTTATACCTCGTGGATCTGCCATTTTTTACCATTACTACCAGGACTTGAGAACATTTCTATGGCGACTCTACTAAAATCTCCACGACATCGTGTTGATCACTCTCTACCTTAACTACCACCTGTCCAGCACATCACTAATGCTTAAGCAGATAGGCTGAGACCAGTCGTCGGACACCGGGGCAATCAGGACGCCTATCCTTCGATCCCCGCTGGTTTATCGCCACCCAATTTCAATTTCAATTTAAGACATGGAACGCTCTATCTGAATTACGAAGGTATTCTTTAATCGTTAGTCACTTATGCTGAGAGATACGGTCGCAGCTCCGCCGAGGGGATAAGGCTGTTCAGAATATTCCCCTCCATCGTCCCCTCATATTCAGGGATTCTATACTTTTGTTTTGACCAGATTACGATTTTCCCCCCGGGAGGGTAGTCTATCAAAATTTTTTTCTAAAAGTATCGACCGAAATTTCAATACAACCATCGGGCCGCAATCTACCCCGGCACTGGGTCGGTTAGTACCTATTCCACAATTCACCGCTCTTTAAGTCGGATCTGCATGGAATGTCATACAATAAATAATAAACGCTTCACACATGGAAACACTCAATTTTGACGCCCTCTGACAGAATCATAAACGTCATTAGGCTCTCATACTTTAGGTACCTAGTTAGGAGTATTTACAGCATACTTAAAGTTGGCTTTGGAGGAATGATAGACCTTCAGGGCAGATAGATTGGGGACGCCTTCGACGCGTACGGCACCACATACTCGGATCGCAACTCACATCTCTTTTCACCACCCCATTGCTCTCTCTATATATATAGTGGCCCGAAGAGTGTATATAAAGACTAGTACCGATCCATGACATAGCAATAGCTAGCATAGTTTGACCAGGAATCTTAAGATACATAGGCAGTAGTATCGAGATACGATAGAGGGCTGTGATAGAATCCCGAGCTCCTATTGATAGACGACGTCCATAAGCATCCTGGGTTGTAAAGCATAGACGACATGCAGTCTACTCTAAGCCACTTCGTGTGGTTTATCTAGATATTCTATCTCATTGATCAAGACATTTGGACATGTAGGTAGGCTGTTCGTACAATTACCTACCTAGGCACTCATCATTTCATAATGAGACAGTCATAATATTAAATTAACTGTTTTGAAGTGACTATAGCAATATATGCATCTATACCTGCCATTGTCTAAGACAATATATATGCCAACACCAATATCCCTTATACACATGCCTACCTACCAGACCGATCTTATAAAAAGAGCAAGCTCCTATCAATCGAGCCATTCTATTATTACCCCTGACATCATCTATATTTATTTCATTCATTACTTAGCACCCTTCATTAATATTTTAGAAATATTCCTTTAAGATGTTTACTTTGAATCTGAGACCTGCCAGGCTACATATCCCTTTAACCAGCATAACCCCCCTTAGTAGTCGGTAAAATACCTATGTAATGCTCAACGCAACTCATTAACATCAAAAGAAACGACCTTAAGATATACCTCTATAATAAATACGATCGGCCGATTTAATAAGGTAGAATCAGTTTACCTTCCTTACCCAATCTTTATGTATCAATACCGAAAATAGTGGAGGTGCTGTCTTATGGCTGGACCAAGGTACTTAATAACTATATTTCTTTATATCGTATACAATTTCATAAATATCTCAATATTCAATAGCTAGAATAACGACTATATTAACCTAGAAAATCGGCTAGTTAGAGTACTCTACAATCTCACGAACTATGCATGGTTGGTCTTATTCCTACCTAGGTAGGGCCTGGAAAAATTACAACTGTGCTCTACCCCTACAACACCATGTGAGGCGTAATCGAAGTTAAGGTAAATAAATGTTGACAAAAGACTTTTCAGACCATCCATCGTTTACATGAGTTGGAATTTACATCCTAAAAGATTTAATTCGAAAAGCTATTCGTCGTTCTGGCGATAAGGACTACTGAACAGTGCAGACCACTTGCATGGTACGTGTAATTGTTGGCAAATGAATCTTGCACGTAACTATCCAAGGTTACATAGGTTAAACACAGAGCTGAGGTAATGGCCGTAGACGCAATAAGTAATGAGTGGTTGGTGACACGTTCTAGAAGCTTTAAAATGATTACGGCTTTTATACCTTCGAATTTCATATAACAATAATCAAGTCTTAAAGCTATTAATTTCATATCTATGCGGCTACCATAACTCACTACTCGTAGAGGAGGCCAAGAACACATTCGCAACAGGATTAAGGCCGAGAAAGAGTAATTAGTTTATACGCCAATAAGCATCGATCTTAAGGGGGTCGTAAGATATCTTAAATTAGTCGAAAAACGCCTCGCCATCATACATACAAGTTTGATTCGTCCGCCGCTCCGTCCCTAAGGGTGTGGTTAGGGCGTCGACGGTATCCTAAGCGTTCCGAATTCGTTACGTTTGCAAGCCAAAGAAAGACCGGCCAAATCAAAGACAAACTCCTCTCTGTGCTAGCGATTCCGAAGATTTTTCATGTTCGGTATCGCCAATGCGTGTCTACTGCTGCTCGTAGCCTGCGAGATTCAACCCGTCATTCATGCCATCAAGTCGATCAGCACCTGATGTGCTTAGTGATGTACAGTGGAATTAAATTAGACCTTGCCCTGGCTTGCGAGGACTGCAGAATAAATTAGAATGGGACTATCTCTAAATGACCGAATCGCAACTTACCGGAAGGGACGACAATAACTAGAATTAGGATGATGATACCTAGAATCAGGCACATCCTCATCTTCATATCCTTCCACCACATCTGCTTGCGAACTCTGTTGGCACCGCGGCGGAAGCCCTGGGCGGAGACGGCTAGGTTGTCGGTCTTATCTTGCAGAGCATCGAGACGTTCGCCACGTTGCGAGACCTTGTTGATGTTCTCTCGCATAACACCGACGGTATCGTCAATTTGCTATGAAACTATTTGTTAGCTTAAACTAGGTTACTTTGACTGTTTATGAATCGCATTCTGCTCCTGGATTCTTGGATATTGCGGTTCATACTGCTCGCGGTGTCGCGAAACTCGAGTGCATATGCTTGAAGCCTGACGTAATATCCTAGTCCGTGATGTAGCGTTGAGAAATTGTAACAAGGTATCTTTGGCATCAAATCTTCCGTCATCAACTGTACGCGTGTGCGCATCGCTTTTCGATTCCCTCACCACTTATCGCCAGAATAATGTATTTTAAATATTGGAATTGATTATCCAGTAGAGTTGTGATGGTTAATATAGACGTTGTTGGGTATGAAAGGAGCTAGTCTCGTAACATTGTCTCGTCGCAATTGGTCCTCTTTATTTGGCTATCGATATCTCGTGATCCGGGAGCAGAGGCATCGAAAATTAAATGCAGTCGACGAAATAAACTTACAGCTTGTAACGCCTGCGTTCGATTGTTGCCGCCCTGTTGAGGTGCGGACTGGCCGCTGGGGATGTACGGATCGTAGGGAGCTTCGTTGGACATTTTGGCGAGTGGTGATAAAACACGGTCGGGTTGGGTTTGTCAATAAGGAAGCGAATGTTGGTCGAAAGCGGCGGCGGAATAAATGCAATACGGATAGTATTTTTGTCGCGGATGATGAGAGTTGGTATTGGTTTGATGGTATGGGTGTGGCAAAGGAAGTTGGGAATGGGAGAATCAAAGAGAGGTTGGAGGTTGGAGGGAGGCCGGAAGTTTAGAAGTTGGGAAGGTTGCGAAGGCTAAAGTTGTATCCGAGACGCTTGGTTGTCTGGGAACGCTGGAAGTTTTTGGAGCACAGGTACTTCAATTGGTACCTCATACACTAAGCTCGTACCTAAGGGGCGCGCTAACATCACCCCGTCAATCACCCCGGCAAAGGGCAAAGGCGACAAATCACAGTCATGTGATAGCTTAGGTTAGTCAATTTTGCTAAACTGATGTCTAAGTACCTAGGTACCTCTGTTATTACAAGTCTCAGCAGTCCAGTAAAAACATTATATTGGAATAGCCTCTCATGATCTCATGTTTTTTTTTCCTATTCGCCCGATTTTCGCTCGAGAAACACTACCTCTTAGCTACTCGTAATAACAGATATTGATGAATTCTTAGAACTGCCCACAAAGCTTATTCGTGGCTGAGCAAGAACGCGTATGGCCTAACAGGCAGCCATTATTCAATGTTGCCGAAAGATCCTAAGGGTTAGGTTAGGTACGTAATGTACCTGGGTACTTGCAGGAACGCCAAGCCAATTGTGGCGGATGGGCGTCAATTTCCAAATCGCCTGTGGCTGGTGACCCCTTTAACGGGACTACATAGGTAATAAAGGACCTCCTACATGAATGAACAAACTTATCTTATAACTTAAACTGCACTAGAATAGTAAGCCAGTACTAAGAACACATATATAATAGTAGCTTATACGAGGCATGCGTCTATTAATAGAGATAAAAAGAAGCAAAGAGATGGGGTTTCCTCCCTATATTCGTATTGGTTCCTCTTGCAAGTAAGTCAAATCAGTCAAACTAATTAATAAACCTCAGCTTATTTCTTGTCTTCAATACGACATTAAGAAATAGATAGACGGTGGTATAGGAGAGAAAGGTACAAAAACTACGGTGTCGAGTGTGAATCCAGTGGGAGCTCATCATAACGTAGACCCTATGATATGGAAACGACTATTTAAGTAGGTGGAAAACGACATGCCTTATATATTCGGAACTACTAGGGTACCTAATGTAAATATAGTCTATATAGCCTCTACTACCTCGAGTTGCCCCGTAGGCAATTGCGTATGCTGTGAGAAAATCGAACTGAGTTCTTTGATTAACTAACTACCTGGTAACTAGGAGATATCTAATAGTCATGTTTATTCGATCTTTATCTATATCTTTCGACGTCAATACACTTAGCTAATAAAACCTCGGGTTTCAACAAAAAAAAGGGGGGGTATGAATCACTTATATATCGTATCATCATTAGGGATCTAATTCGTAGGTTGCTATCCTAATTCAAGTTACATGCGAACTATACGGCTTTTTGAAATATAATTGTATAACTATTGGTTATCTACCTACCTAACATATATAATTCAGTAGTTACCTAGCATTGCGGGCATTATTTTTAAACACAGGATACTAGCTCTCACAACCTTACTTTATGCTCCCCCTCCCCTAGTCTTAATTCATGATAAAGCCTATAGCGGAAACTATTTTAGAAGTATATATGTATTTAAATATTTATATACAATCTTGGGCCATCGGTTCCTACTCTTCGAGCTGAGGGTTTATCTCTGTCTGTTTATGAGGTATGTTCATCGTTATGTTATCTACATCAATTTCTGTGACAAGAGAATACCGGAGCCTTTCCCTCCGCACTAACGCTGCAATGTCAAAACGCCAGGACGGTAAGGTAACAAACCATAGTCACCACCGGAATTCTTCTCTCGGCCCTGATAAAGTAATTCTAGGTTACATGGGTCAATAGTCATAGTCTGGTCAGGGTTGCTGCGAACCAGATCACCGTGGCTAATGTCGTTGGTCCAAGTAGCACCACTGTTGGCCTTGCCGGCGAAAGGGTTACTCTCGGTTGCGGCCTGCGGTTTCCAGGAACCGTCCAAGCTGTCAGCCGTAAATGATCTGAAGTATCGCCCGTTTGACCCGATCGCCTCGACGATCATAAGGTACTTCTTCTGACCCTGAATAGTGTAGACCTGAACAGCCTCAAACAGATTATTGGTTGTGTCGCTTAAGACCACTGTCGACGACGTGCCGAAACTGCCGGGAAACTTGTCGATGGGCATGCTGGCCCGATAGACCTTGCCATTATCTCCGGTAAAGAATAGGTACATATTTGTGTCGTCACCGATGACTGTTTGATCGATACAGCCGGTGCTGGAGCCTGAGATAGTTCCGGAGAAAAGTGTCTGCGCCGAAGACCACCCGTTTGCATTGGTAGGATCGGTTGACGTTCGATAGGAGAATGCGGTCGGTCCCCATTGATAGGCAAGCACCCAAATGTCCTTCGGTTCGAAGTAGAACAACGTGGGTGCTACTGTGCCTGAATTCATCGCATTTTGGCTAGCCGTGGCCATGTCAGACCAGTTTGAAAAGAGGCTGAAGGTCATTGAGCCCCAGCCCGATCCTGTGTTATGAGTAGTCCCATACACAAGATGTTGGCCCTTGTAAACGACATTAGTGAAGTCTTTAAGCGAGACCCAACCAGACTTCGGTGTTGCTAGAGCGCCTGTAGATGTCCAGTGATAAGTCGACGGAAGATCGCATGTTTGCGCTATGACAGCTGCTGTCGAGGCGAGCCATAGGATGCTGGTTGACACCAAGCCCATGTTAGTATTCAGGAATCTCATCTTGATGATACCATCTTATAGCTGAAAGCTAGAATGAGAAGGTCGACGGTTTGATCTAAAAGATAATTGAGGAGGAGAATCGTCAAATTTGTACATCTGTTCACATAATAGGTAGGTGTTTTCAGTCACACGCTAGATCTAAGCAAAGGCCGGGTCGCCCACCGGGCTGCCCAGGGTGCCGTATCTTCACGGAATTCCCCATCGTGGATTAATACAAAATACAAGTTAATTAACGGGGACCTACGGTAATCGCTGTGATAGCTGCGCTTATAGCCTCAATTAACCTGTATTGTGGGACTGAGTATAAGGGCTGTTCTAGAACCAGCAAATGGCCGTTTACGTGACATTGGCCTTTAAATTCCCGACGTCAGAAGCGTATGGTATATATAGATTTTTGCTAAGGAACTCGATGTAACCTTGCTTATAGTCGAGCAAATCACATAGCTGTAAGTAGTATAGCTGAATATAATACCAAGTTAGGAGAGTTTGCCTTGTAAGTCAAGATGCTCTGCGTCCTTACAACATCAAAATGAACCTACTACCTATTAAAATCCACCTATAGCGAAGTCAAGGCGCATTAATGTATAGGATATATGTATCTGCAACGTAATATGGATTAGAATTAGCAATATACGGCAGTGACCGAGATGAGCCATAAGTAAACCGGCTCTTGTCTGTATATTAAACAATCGATGTAGTTTAGAGTCTTGGACTCGCAGTGTAGTCGCATCGAAATTACGCAGCAGAGATTACATTTCCAAGAATGATATAATTATGCCTTCCGTTTCTTTTCTTCGCTGGAAACTGTGAATGTCTCGGTCACATAAATACCGGTCTCCTCATCTGAATACCTCTGCACAAAATGCTCTTGGCTTGCTTCACTCGGAAGTTTTATTTTTTGATTGCTTGGCTTTTTAGACCAACCACGAGACATCCCGAAAGTCTTCCCACCAGCGGAGCTCCCGGCGGTATATCCAGCACGATTCTGACTTTCGACCACGACAGAATGGCTATTCACTTTCGAGCCTTTCCCGGAGCGTAGTCCTGACCCATTCGACTCATAAGTTCCCGATCGCATTGTAGATACGTGAAGACCCCAGAGACGCCGACTAAAGAGCGGTTTGATAGCCGGCGCAGAGACAACGAAGGCGGTGACTACATATTCACGAGTAGCCCATTGGGTAGCGACGAGAAGGTCGAGTAGAGATCGTAAAGCATAAATGGTTCGTAAGAGGGTAGCAATAATGATAAATATTCCAGAACCAAAAAATACAGCAAGGATAAGCTTCCTGTAAGTACCTAGGAATCTTGACCTGCCATAAAAGGGGTAACGGGATAGCCATAATACCAAAATCGGAAATAATGCTAAGAATCGGGTACAGTATGTAATTTTCTTTGCGGAAGACACTTTTATCTACCAGACGACTTTATTAAACAATATTATCCACTAAGGAGGAAACTGTGCAGTAAAGGGCGTAGGGCTTCACGTACCACTAGGGTATGGCTTGACTTGCCAGGCTAATTCAATTGGTGTACAGAGAGTGAATTGGAACAAAATGGCGATGATGAAGGTCATTAATGTGACCCAGCGAATCCACTTAGCTAGCTTATTCTGCCAGAGATTCATAGTCTATTCAAATACTAAAATGGGTATGGTCTCGTAAATATCTATGGAAATACCACAACCGCCCTTCCAGCTAGTGTTCCCGCCCTCAAAGCATTGTAGGCTTCCCCTATTTCATCAAAAGAAAACCTTTCAATGTCAATCCGAATTTTTCCAGTCCTTGCTAGCTCGCACACCTCCTTTAGATCCTGCCGTGTGCTCCCCAAGCTGATGGCAAACTCACAGCTGGTAGCTAATAAACCCCATCCCACTTCTAACGTACCGCCTTGCATTCCAACAAGAACAATACGACCTCGCGGACGAGAGACCTTGGCGGCAAGCCGAAGAGTATCCGTGCTTCCCACCAAGTCAATAATAGCGTCAACCCCACGGCCTCCTGTTCGGGATACAATCTGCTCCACCGCTGACGTTCCGTCGCCTGTGAAAAGCACCGCTTCGTCAGCGCCTACTTCAATAGCGGTGCGAAGCCGTGCCTCGATATTGTCGACAGCAAAAATGCGCGCCGATGACAGAAGCTTAACGAACTGCACAGCATATGTGCCAAGTCCTCCGATGCCTATGATTGCGACGCTTGTGCCGGGCTTCAAGCGTTGTATGACGGTCTGGACGGCGTGGTAGGCCGTCACCCCAGCATCGGTGAGCGGTGCGTACATAAGGGGGTCTCCGTCGCCAATGGAGATGACCTCGATGCGCGGCACCAATAAAAACTCAGCCAATCCACCATCCATGCCGCATCCGCGCGTCATTCCAATCGCGTTGCGCTTGAACGCCTCGCAATGCTGCTCAGCGCCATCCGTGCAGTACTCGCAGTTTCCACAATGGCGCATGTGATGGACGACAACAGCTTCTCCGGGCCGCAGGTCCGTCACGGCGCTGCCAACCTCTTCCACGAAGCCGGCATTCTCGTGCCCTAAGATATAGCCCGGGTCGAGGGAGTTTGCGTAAGGTGCCGACCCAGGCTGGCTGTCTACCATATCTAGGTCGGAACGGCACAGACCGGCGGCTTTCATACGAATGAGGACATCTCCAGCGCCCGGCCTTGGTTTAGGCACGTCGACATACTGTCCCGGTTCGCCCCATCGCACTAATTTGAAGGCTCTCATGGTTGAAGGGAATGTATAATTAATGATGGTAAGAAACTAAAGTTAATTTGTTAAGGTCTAATAGCTTATAGATCCGTGAAGAACCAGATAGCCAAATAAGAAAATTAATATGAGAGCTTTGGTTGATCCGAGACATAAATGGGCAAGCCGTATGCATACCTACAAGCGAAGAGCTGCCCCAAGGCTGTAATATTTGCATTGTAGATCGGGTAGATCTTCTGCATCTGTTGAGCGTTGATGTTTCGGATCTTGGTCCGTCTGGAGACTCTTGCTTATTCCGGGTAACTATCCCTTGTTTAAATCCACCTCGCCGAGTAAACACAGTCCGGATTATGAGAAGGCCTGTTACGATAGGAATATCCAATGTTATATATGATAGACATAAGGTAAGACGTGGTAGTATGTGGGGTAAACCGAACTTACTGCCGACGACTGTAACGCGGGGCAAGGATGCAACAGGGGCTCGACCCGTCAGCCCGTGGAACAAGGATATAAGCTTGTTGAAGTGAGTGGTCAAGGGACTACTTTCAGGTACAGTACATGGTATCTTGGCATGGAATGTATATATAAGAAGGACCTCCCTCCTCACTCATACAGTTGGTAGACTAAGTCATACAACTACAGCTCATACACCGTATCTTTCAGCAAAGCTTACCTACATAGGTGTATGATATATATCCACTTCATAATAGAGAACGGAAGAGGTATTAAGTATTATACAAAGCTCAAGTATTGATCTTAGAAGATAGGACCTAATGTATGAGTGAAAATGGGTAGCTTATACAGAGGTTGGGACCAAAAGTCTTGCACATGCAGTAAGAGCTTCAAAATACCAAGACCCGGCCATCAACCTTCGATCGAGACTGACATGTCCAAATCTTGGCATCGATATTCGTACGTCTTTTGACTTATTGATGCTATATCAGCCACACGCTAAGCTGAAGGTCGGATAATGGTACTATGATAGCCATCTATCTGGAGAGTGCTAGCTTCCTAGATACGGTTGTCATTTCATATGTAATTTCTAACCATGTTAGGTATACCTCTGCTAAAATTAGAAGACATTATCTCGAAACATTATGAAGTTGTCTTTCTCCCCCAATCTTACACTCAACCTCACATCGGAATTGGGCTTCAGTAATTCCTACCACGCTTTAGGACTCGGTCACTGATCCAGCATAGGTTGAGTTCTTATTATCAATAATAGAAATTCATTACATAGATGCTATATCTTGTAGGAATCAACTGGTCATTATTTGTATGGGATACCCATCCTTTTCATCCCGATATAAGAGACTAGAGTTCACTAAAAGTTCGCTATAACAATACGGAAAGCGTATAAGCCTAGGTATCTAATCTAGATTAACTGAAAAGTCTGAAAACTTTGCTCGCCCTCATTGATCTTTTTCATGGCCTCTCCATCCATTATGCCATGTAAGTAAGCGTCTCCTACTATAGTATATTGACTCTCAGTTCCTAGACCAATTTTCGTTTGCTCGGATACTCTCTCGGCACTTCTTAGAATAAATGGTAAACGTCCGCCGGCAAGAACACATATCATGTCGCCCGATTTCGCGTTTTTAGGAGCCAGACCCATATAACCCCTTTTTGAAAGGAAAAACCGCCGATTGTAGGTAGTCTGATAGGTATGTTGCGAAAACACGTTACCCTCTTCTTGATTTTGAAATGTCTCAGGTAGCCGGTCGCTTTTGGGCCTGTTGTAGAGTGCCAACAACGACAGAAACCAGAAGGTGTCATGAATCGGCCGATCACCAGGTCCTGCCCGTTCAAACGGAATGCCAGATTCAGATGTCCCTCTGCTGCTGCTAAGATCTAAAGACAAGGTCCTCCAAAAGGCGTCCATAATAGTCCCCCCCGATGGATATGACTTGTCAGGTTCGTCCTCTATCCCAGCCATGATACGCCAATCTCGAAAAGCCTCGGCGGAAACTGTATTAGAATTTTGCAATGCTGGATTAACGTTCTCTATGACGTCGAAGTTGATACCCTTTACTCGCAGAGAGCCCTGCTCATCACCATTCGACGCGTCAAAGAGGTAAGGTCCACAGGCATTAAAAAGATTTAGAGTTCTAATACGGATGTCCATATTGAAAGATGGATCATGGAAGGTATTGAAATCGTCACTCCAATCCGGCACCCATGAAGGCAGGTTTGTCGCTCTTGTGCGTTGTTTCCGAGAGTATTCGTGTTCTCCGGGTTCCTCGGATGTTTCCGTCAGATGGCTGAGAAGGTCTAAGCTACGGGTCTTTGTAATGATTTCTCTTGCAGAGACCTCGTAAATCATTTCCACTGATAAACTATAGTCGATTGTGATATGCTCGGCATCTTCGATCATCCCTAACAGACCGTAGATTTTATCTCGCGGATCAGTTGCACTTCTATGCCGGAAATGATTGGCGATTTGGCAAAAGGATCTGCCGTATATCCCATTTCTAACCCTGCCCAAGTTACGCTGAATCCGTATGAGACCCATTAAGTCATAGTAGCCCATTTGGGAACCTAAGTCCTTCCCCAGGTCAATACAGCAGGATGACATATGAACGTTGAAACTATTCAGCATACCACTCATAGTTTCCCCAGTAATTGTCCAAGAGCCACGCTGGTACGTCAAGTTTCGTGCTAGGACTGCTTCTTGCGCCGTCCAAATACGGTCCCACCACCGGTTTCTCAGGAACATAAAAAGGGGTAATGGATCGATACCCCTGGTGGCAAGTTCAGTCCAGTGCACATTTTGGTTTCCTCCTACGGTTTCAATAAAGCGTATTATTTCCAAATCCTTGTCACAAGAGGGGCCCAGCCATGCGACCACGCACTTGGCCGCTGAGTAGATGCAACCCATGAGTCGGACTTGATGGTTTCGCTCATCGATATCTTCTTGGTTGATACATAAGGCATCTACCCACAATGTTCGGACGCGATCAGAATAACGCAAGTGATGGAGTGCCGAATATAGATTTCTTGTAACGTTGTGTGTCTGCCCTTGAAGGGATATGGGGATAGTGTCTGTTGCGTCTCCCCACACGTATGATAAGGCTTCAAATTCCAGTGGATGATCTAGCGATGACACCAAAAGTTGACATTGAATATCGGTCGATCTGTCACCGGGCAAGACAAGTAGGAGCCTAAAATGCGGCTCTGTTCCACTCAGTTTTGAATACATTGTTTCCCTTTATGGCCTTCGTTTATTTAGATATGAATAAAGGTATAACTTGGAGGCTTCAGAGAGCAGATATATATCAGATATATATATATATATATATTGTATAGTATGGAAGTTACATGAAATGGCCTGCCATATTAGGAGGACCTCACAGGCTATCAAAGCCGACCTAAGCTACGATATTCATAGTACACGCCAACTGAACCACGATAATGTTGTCGGGCTGTCCGAAGGGTGGCACCTGGCAATAGCCTGATATCACTCAGCCTAGAATAACGGCTCTCGTATTTTGGGTTGCGTCTGGCAGTAATGCAGGTAAACAACGAATGGGATCGTATACTCTTGGGCTGTGACTCGCATCAACCCCGCTCAGCTGAAGAGAAATGTGCATATTCAAGCTGGGCTGTGATTGCAGTTAGCCTAGACTGCTGCCCTATGGTAATTCGATATCTCTTATAGTAAGAGTTGGGCACTTAACTTTCTTAATCCCAGGCATAAAGTTAAAATGATGCTATTTCTAGATTACCTTGCCAATCCTTCCAAGGAGATTACTTTTTAAAATAAGTATATATACCTACCTACTAAAATTATTAATAAAATGACATGGCTATTTTTTATCCTATTAATTTTATAAAATTTTATAAAAAATTAAAATTATTAAATATTTTTAATAAATATAAATATTTTTTATATATCTTTAAAATTATTTAATTAAGTTAAATTAATTAATATTAATTATATTAAAATATAATTATATTTTTAATAATTATTAAAAAAATAATTTTTAAATAAAAAAAATAATTTTTAAATAATAATATATAATTTATAAATAAAAAATAAATAATTTATAAATAAAAAAATAATTTATAAATAAAAAATAAATAATTTATAAATAAAAAATAAATAATTTATAAATAAAAAATAAATAATTTATAAATAATAAAAATAATTTATAAATAATAAAATTTAATATTAATAAATTTAAATTTTTTTAATTTTTAATTTATAAATAAATTTTAAAATTTAATTTAATAATTAATTAAATTATTAATAATTTTTATTATTTATTTTTAATTATTTAAATTAATTCTTTTTAATTAATTTTTATTTATTACGCGTAATAATAAAATAAAATTATTATAAACGTTTTAATAAACGTAATTTAATATAAAAAAACGTTAATAATTTTATTATAATAATATAATTAATTATTAACGTTTTTAAAGTATTCGAGGAAATTTATAATGGTTTAATTTAATTAAATATTATTATTATATTTATATTTTAATTTATACGTTAATAAATATTACGTTTATTTTTAATATTTTTTTAATTTTCTTTTTAATGTAATAAGTTTTATTATTATAATAACGTAAATTTTTTTTTTATTTATTAATTTAATTTTATATTAATTTAATAATTTATTTAATAATTTAACTTATTATTATAACCGTTTTTATAATTAATTTTTTATATATTATAATTATAAAAAAATTTAATATTATTAAATTTAACGTATTTTTTAATAATTTATTTTTTATATATTAAAAAAAGTTAATTTTTTATAATTTTAATAATATTATTTTAAAATTATTTTTAATAATATTAATTTTTAAATATATTTTATAATAGTAAAATAAGTTTAAATATAATTTTATATTTATATTTATATAATAATAACGTAAAATTATTTAAATAATTTATTAAATATAAATAAATATAAAGTTATTAATTAATAAAAATTTATTATTAATAAAATTTAAAGTTTTTTTTATAATAAAATTAAATAAATTATTAAAATAATACTTTTTTATTTATTAATTTTTAATTTTTAATACATTATTAAATAATTATAATTTATAATTTTTTTATTAAATTTTTAATAACTTTTTAATATTTATTTATAATTTTAATAAATTAATATTTTTATTTAATACGTAATTTTTTAAAATTTTATAATTAATTTTAATTAATAACGTAATTTTTATTTTATAATTTTTATAATAATTAATATAATATATAATTTATTATTTTTATATTATTATATAAATTTTATATAAATAATTTATTACTTTTTATTAAATAATTTAAAAACGTTTATATATATAATTTTAAACGTTTATATATAATAACTTACGTAACATATATAATATAATAATTTATAATTTAAAAAAACTTTATTTAATAATTAAAATAACTTTAATAATTATTTTAATAAAAGCAACATTAATCGTGTAATATGCCCATTACTACTCGTGTAATATTCGCGGTACGTACCCGGCTTTTTCTCCTTTCCTTTTAACATCTACCTTAATAACTTTACGGGTTTTAATCGGAATCTTTAATAAATTACATCATAATTTAAATAAGAAAATAATAAAAATTACAATCCAGGGTGCACGTGATTCGGCCCCGAATTCGCCGAGATATTTAAAGAGTAAGCATTTGTATATATAAAGTGACTTTTTTATTAATACCTACTAGTTTATTTTAGTTTATTATATAAAAGCAACTGTATCTTTACCAAATAAATAGGTAAAATTCTAAGCTTTTTTTTATAATATTAGCCATTTAATTATTTAAATTTTAAGACTTTTTCGAATTTTATCCAGGTTATATTTGCAAAGTTATTAAGGTTGAAAAGTGTTGAGATTACAAGGGATAAAAGTCATTAAAGAAAAGCTTATAATAACCATTATAATTAAAATTTATACTTTTAACCGCATCCGGGCTAATATTAATCCAAATCACGTGTACCCTAGATTGTAATTTTCGTTATTTTATCATTTAAATTATGGTATAAATTATATGTAAATTAAATTAAAATTAATAAAATTATTAAAGGTTAATTGTAAAAAACGGTTTTAAATTACCCGGTACGTATCTCGTTTTATTACATAAGTAATAATAAACATATTACACGATTAATGTTACTTTTTAATAAATAATAATAAAATTATAATATTAATGTAAAATTTATTAATATATTTATTAAATTTTTATAAAAAATTTTAACTTTTTTAAAATAATGTAATTTTATTAATAATTTTATTAATAAATATTACTTTATTTATTAAATTATTTTTATAATTTTTTTAAAAACGTAAAACGTTAACGGTAACGTTTTTATTAATATAAAAAATATAAATTTATTATTAAATTTTAAAATAAATAAATATAATAATTATTTTAAATTTATTATTAAAATTTATAATAATAATTTAAAATTTTAACGTTTTAACCTTATTTTATAATATAAATAAATATTATAATATTTAATTATAACTTTTTTTTTTTATTTAATATAAACGTAAAAACTTTATTAAAAATTAAACTTATTATTATTTAATTTATATAATTAAAAAAAGATATTTTAAATTAATTAATTTTATAAATATTATTTATATTAAAAACTTAAAAATATAATCGTTATATTTTAATATAATAAAATATAATTTAAAAAAAAGTTATTAATTAATTAATAAATTTATTATTATTTTTTTAACGTAACTTAAAATAAAAAACGTTTTTTTTAAAATAACGTATAAAAGTTTAAATTAAAATAAAGTTTTTTTATATACGGCGTTTAATTTTTTAACGTATATTATTAATATTTTTTAAGTTAAATTTCTTTTTATTTTTAATAATTTTACGTATTAAAGTTTATAAAATTAACGGTTACGTTATATTATTTTATATTAAAGTTTTAATAAATTATAAAAATTTTTTTTAAAAATAACGGTATTTTATATAAGATTTAATTAATTGTAAAAACTTATAATTATATTATAAAAATTTTTTATTTTTATTTAAATAAATTTCGAAAAATTATAATTAATTAATTGTTTTAATATAAATTAATTTAATTTTTTAAAAATAATTATTTATTTTTTTTATATAAATAATATATATATTTATGTTTTAAAAAGTTTATTTAAAGCTTTAATTATAAGTTATATTAATTTTAATTAAAAAATTATTATTATTTTTATTTTTACGTTTATTAAAAATACCGTTATAATAAAAATTAAAATAATTATTTTTTAAATAAATTTATAATTTAATTTTAAAAGTTTTAAAAATTATAAATAACTTTTAATATTTATTAAAAAAATTTAAAATATAATTTACATATATATTAAAATTATTTAATAATAAAAAAAATTTATAACAATTTAAGGTTTAATTAATTAAAAATATTATAATAAAATTAATTATAAAAGTATAATATTTTATTATTATTTATTTTAAATTATTTATCTTTTAAAAAATCGTAAAATTTTTTTATAAAAATAAAAACATTTTTAATATAATTATAAATTTAAATAAAGTTATATTATTTTATTAATAATTTTAATTGTTAATTATTTACATTTATTTTATAAGGTAATTTATTTAAAAAAGTTATTATAATAATTTAAAAATAACATTATTTTAAAGTTAATATATTAATTTAACTTTATTTACTTTATTTAAAAAAAAGTCTCATTTATAAAAAGTACTTTTTATAAATACTTAATTTATCCTTTAATTTTTCCGAAATTATAACGACCGTTATAACTTTATTTTATATTACGGTCATTTATAACGATAAATTTATAACTCGTTATTTATTTAAAAAAGGTTATATTAAATTAATTAACCCCACGTAACTTAAAAATAGTTTAATCACTTATAATTTCTTATATTTTTATTTATATATTAAAATTTTATATTTTAAATATATATATAATTTTAAATCTTAATTAAATTATTTTAAATAATTAAAAATATTTATTTATTTTATAATAATTAAAAGTTTTATTATTTATATTTTACTATTAAATTAAAAAATATATTTAATTTTAATTATATTAAATAAAAAAGTTTATATAAAATATAATTTATATTAAATTTATAATGTAAAATATTATTAAAAAAATAATAATTATTTTTATTAAATTTTTTAAATAATAAAAATAAAATAATTAATTTAAAAAATTAATTAAAAATAAAAAGTTTTAAAATTAATTTAATTTTAAAAACGTTAA